TTGCCTCTATAGGGAACTTGGAACCCAGGTAAAATAAACCCTATTTAATCTTTATATTAGATAGGGGAATTTGTCGGTCATATATAAAAGGTTTGCAGACCAAACGGATGCCACAAATCTCTTAGTTTACAGGATTGGGTCTATCGCCGAGGTCTACACTTATCTTTCGGGAGGGTGTAGTATTCGCGGTATCAGACACGATTATGCAAACTATTGGACGAATGAGATCCATTTGGTCTCATTTTTCAAAAATTAAAACATACTACTTTCAAAACCCAAACTATATATCTTTTATATTTAAATTAAATCTCAAAAATTATTTTCATATATCATATTTTTCAAATAAATCTAATCAAAGAAAAGTTGACCGACAGCATGCACTCACTAAAAGAAACTAGTTTCAAAATGAAGCAAAAACCTATGAAATAGATATAAAAAATGAGAGAGAGAGAGAGAGAGAGATTGTGTGTGTGAAATCCCTTTGGAAGAATGAAGCTAAACTCTTAAACTTTGAAGCAACTTTTGGTTTAATAGATTGTATTTCATTAAAAACTCTAAAATTAAGTGTGTTCGCACGGGTGCCCTTGGCATAATGTCAACGGTTGGAATTTCTTCAGAACATCCAAAGTTAAGCGTACTCATGCGATAGCACTCCTAGGATGGGTGACCTATTGAGAAGTTAGCACAAATCCGTGAGGCCATCAGGCCAAAGCGGAGAGTTTGGGATGTTATGGGGAGAGAAAGAGAGAGAGATGTTGGTCCATAATCTTTCTCAAAGTCACTATTTCAGAAGTCAGATTAGATCTCAAACAGGACAAGATATAACAAGATATAAGCTGTTAAAGACTGCAAGCAAATCATACAAAATCAGGTGCATGTAAGGAGCCAAGCAAAATGCTTGTTATTCAACAGTTACCTGAAGATTATTTGCAAGTGCGGACAAAGGGATTCCTTTTCTAAGTGCTACCTCATTAGGTTTCAACAGAATCAACAATGTCTCTTTCAAGGGCTTCACCAAATCCTGATTGCTCAAGGCAAGTGGGCCTAAATGAGTGCAAGCAACCTTGAGAGCTAGTTGAATATTACCGCTATTTACCAGTTCAATAAATTCGACCTGTCATCAGTGTACCAATCGAAAACCTTATTTAGATTATTTAAACAACAGTTCGCATTGTAAAAACCAAAACAAAAAAATAAAAAATAAAATAAAAAATCTAACCTGCTTTAATTGGAATAACAATAAAGGATTGAGAGTGAAAAACTCAGGATCCATGGCATTCACTTCCTCAACTACTTCTGCAACCATACCCTTACTGGCCAGCTCTTTCATCTCCAACACAATTTCACACTTGCGGACAAAAATCATATCAGCATTGTGAAGGGAAGAATGATTCCCTAAAACCTATTGGAAAAATATCAATAACAAAGAATGAGCGTCAAAATAAACTCTATGATATGTAGATAATGGGGAAATTCTTTCACTCATGTTGATACCTACTTTCTCTTCCTTGCATTTATGTTCAGAGGCATCAAGAGCTGCAGCCATGAGATTTGTATTGCTTTTCTCAGAGGTAACAATGTCAGAACTATGTTCCAGGGGATCAACCCTCCCTCTCCATCTTTTTTTCCTTCGTTCCCTCGATACATCATACCTACTTCTTCTTAGCCTTCTGGAACAGCTCTGCAAATGGCCTGGAGTGCTGGTGCTGCAATCTTCGTAGTTTGTCGTCCTTTCAGATGAACAATGCATATCGAAGCCATTGTCCCGTATGCTTGTGTAGTCCATGTTAACTTCATGAAACCCATCGGACCCAATGTTATTAATGGAGGCTTCACCATCGGATTGAGGATATATACAATCCCTTGAAGAACTGTTTGCAGGATAAGCTGCAAAAGATTTGAGATGATGTTCTACGAAGGTTAGTCACTGAGCTTACGAGGATGTGATGAGTCCCACGGAAACCATTAGGAAGATTTACCTGATGAAGACATGGTGTCAGAAGCTGCAAGTCCTCTGTATATGCAGTACTCGTGGACAAGCTCATCGAGTACTGAAAAGTTGAGCGTTGTCCGACACAACTCGTTCTGTGGAGGCATATTAAACAGTTTACAAGTTAGTTGCTGAGAAAATATATTTTCCATTTTTAGCAAATTTTCTTCATTAAAAAAATTTTGTTTACACATGTACACACACATACATAGAGAGAGAGAGAGTGAGGTGTCAAAATACTCCTACATCTTTGCAGGGAGTAAATTGTCCCAAAATCTAAACAAGTGTCAATTTAGTCCACTGACTCTTTTAATATAGGATAAAATAGTCCCCATGGTGGGACTATTTCAACCCCAATTTAAAGAGTTTTGAGACTAAGTTGACACTATTATAGACCTTAAAACTAAAAAGGCCATATTAAACATTCAGGGGACTTTTTGGCACTATATATATATATATATATATATCTTTAAACTAGTTGT